AATTTCTTTCTTTAGTCAAACAGGCAGCTCAATGGCCATTAACTCTTTTCCCATTGTTTTCTGATAGGTTTTTCTTCTTCAACCCAGCCAATGAGCCACAGCACCCCAAGATCATTAGAGAGCACATAATCCCCAGTAGGTAAGGTGTATAGCCCTGTCCAGCTGGAAGAAGCTATAGAAGACAGAGACTTCCACTCCCTCAATACTCCATAATTATGGGAATGTGTGTCTCTCAGGAGGAAATGAGACAAAGCTGGGTGTGACAAAGTTGGCTGGGGAAGTTGACATGACCTTTAATTACAAGATCCTGGAACACATTTACAGAACATTTTCCAAACCCCTGCACATGGACCTCTCATGAGAACTCCAGCAAGTAGGATGGCCTAGACCTGACATCAGCCTGAGACATGGGATCCCAGCACCTCTCAGTCCTACCTCTCAGAACCCACACGTAGTTTCTCGTGTGTTTCTTTGAGATTTGTACAGCATAAAACGTCAAGAGCTTGCTATCATGGCTTCCTTAACAAAAGCCCACCCTCTGTCCTTCAGGGTGTGCTTTTATTTTGCTTTTTCCTCTTTTACTTGGCCCAAGCCTGCTCTGCAGAGCCAGTTCCTCCCTCTTCACCTTTACTTTTTCAATAAACTTCATCATTGTGTTTTGCTCATTTTGTTCAATTCATTGTCCAAAGTGAGAAGAACCTGGAATCCAACTCCAGGAGATTCGAGCATCTCAAAACTAGTAACCTTTATGTGGTGAGCCAATTTCTAGAAGAAGCTACCTGGTAACACTAGTACTTTGGGAGGCTGCAGCAAGAAGATTGCAGTTTGTAGCCCAACCTGGGCAATTTAGTGATTTACACCCCGTGTCAAATTAAAAAGTAAAAAGGAATAGGAATGTAGCTCAGTATGAAGGCCCTGGGTTCAACTACCATTACGGCACCAAAAGAAAAAAGCAAACACTTGCTCCCCCACTCTAAGAAACTGTCATTCCTCCAGCTGTACCACCTTCCCTCAAGACTACTGCTGGAGATTTAGTGGTGCCAAGCCTGCATACAAAGCACAAAGTCCTGAATTCAATCCCTGATACCATGTACCACACACACACACACACAAACTAAAAAAGAATAATGACTATTATTTTTATGATCTCTTTTCAGTTTTATCATCTAAGCATGCATCATCACTACATACTACAGGTTTGCCTGTTTGGTTTTTTTGTTTTGTTTTGTTTTGATACATCTTAGATTAGTATTTTTAATGCAAACATCTTTATACTCCTCTTTTTTCTCTTTCCCTTTGGAATTTATTTGTTGAAGAAACCAAGCCCTGGCGCAGTGGCATGCATCTGTAATCCCAGCACTTGGGACACCAAGGTGGGAGGAGTGGCTCAAGTTTGAGGCCAGCCTGGGCTACATAGTTCAAGGCCAGCCTGAACTACCAGTGAGACCCTGTCTCAAAGGCAAAAAATAAACAAACAAGAGCAGATCAATTATCGTAGCATTTCCTATTACCTCAATTTTGTTGATTGCAATCTGTGGAATAATTTAACATTTTTTTCCATCCTTTGTGCATATTGGAAATTGATTACTAGATCAATCATTCAGGTCAAAAATCTATGTCTCCTTTCAACAACAGTACAACAAACAGATGTTTCAAACCAAAAAAAAGATATTTGTAATGCCAAAAATAGGAGAGAAATAAGAATAAAACTATATCATATCTGGAAATTCATGTGACAAAAATGCTTAAGGCCTTTAGAAAGTTTTATAACTCTGCTAAAATATATAAACACCTTGAAAAAACAGATGTGCAAAGTTCGGGAAGGTGACAGTTTGGGTGGGTAAGATAATGTGTGAGTAAGCATTCATTCCAGTTCCTTTCATGCTTTAAATCTATGTGCTATAAATCTAGAAAGTAAAATACTTAATTTCCTAGACTTCTTTGCAGTTACGTTTCTAGAAGTGAATTATTTCTGCCAAAAGGTACATTTAAGAAAGAAATGGAAGAAAAAAAAAAAAAGAAATGGAAGGTGAACTTGAAGTTAAAGTAACATGTTGCTTTATTTATTTATTTCAGCTTTTGTTTTGTTTTTGCTGGCAAGCATGCTCACAAAGATGGCAGTATTTACTGCAGCAGCCCAGTCATTAGCTTTGTGGATACTGAGCGTTGCTACCGTATCCATTTTTTTTTTTTGGTACCAGGGATTGAACTCGGGTCCTTGCGCTTGCAAGGCAGGCCACTGAACCGCTGAGCTAAATTCCCGGCAATATCATATCCTTTTGATTCCTGAATCACACCTGTTGTATACTACCAACTTCATTCATTACAACTGTGGGGGCCAGATTCTCTATAGTTCTAATAGGCAGCAGTAGTAGCAGCTCCTAAGGCAGTCCAGTTCTGTAACAGTCTCCTGGACTCACTTATGACAGCCTTGGCCTAAGCATACTTCTCTAGCCCTTTCAGCACCTTTTTAAAAAGTATCAATTCCTTATAAAGTATTGAATCTTTATATATTTCAAGTAGCAGATCTACTTCCTGTAACTGAACAGACTCACACAATGACTGGTAAAGATATAAAAGCTTTCCAAATATATGCAATCTTAATAAAAATTTTAAATATTTGAACAAAACTTCAAATGTATATGCAATTAAAAAAGGAAAAAAAGAATTTAAAGTAAGTATTTTGGCTCTTGCTGAAACCAACTCAAGTACAACTCAGAGATGAAAACAATTCATGGACTTTGATTAGGTCATAAACTTGCAAACCAAGGAGGGCAAACTAGTTTCACCTTTCTTTCCTTCTCTATTGACAAAGCCCATCTTGAGTGCTGAATAAATGACTCCCAGGCTGTTCAAGCTCAGCATTAAAGTGTGGGAGAGAATTATTTGCATTGGCTGCAGATATTGAAGGCACATGAGAAATGACATTCTTGAGCTAAGCCTGCAGGTTAGTAACTATAGGGGGGGGGGGGTGTGTGTGTGTGTGTGTGTGTGTGTGTGTGTGTGTGTGTGTGTGTGTGTGTGTGTGTGTATGGAC